CTCCATTATCTAGTTTGTTCTCAAAAAAAGCACCATCACAGACACCACTCATATTCTAGAAGTTCTTTGGTAAACCCTAGACTAAATCATTCTGCCACATGGATCCTGATATCCTACTTTTATTTTCCAAGTGTTCTCTCTTGTTCTCCAATTGTATTTAAAATATATATATATATATATAGCATTTTTGTTGTTGTTGTTGGATAGATGCAGGACCTTTTTAGGGTCCCTGAAAAATAAGTTTTTGAAGTTTGTTTTTCCTGTTCACTATGTTATCTGATTTCTTGGGAGTTATTTGAAGCTGTTCTCAAATGTCTGGTACTCTTGTTCAGTTAGTTGTCTTGGCATTTTAGAGTGAGGCCAAGTTGTTAAGAAGCTCTGTGGGCCTGAGGGAGTGTGACTTTCCAACTGGTTTGCTGAAAGCAAAATGGCTCTTCCTTTATAGAGCCTTTTCTTGCAGGCACTTTAATTTCTCCTGAGAATGATCCTTCACTTTTCCTCCTGGAGCCTATAAGCCCAATTGGTAGTGTTCTGGGAAGAAAGTGGGGTTGAAAAGCCTATTGCCTTAGTGTGCTCCCAGGGCAGCCTGACCTATCACAGCGTCTAGCACCCATCTAATTACTTTATAATGTATGTTTTCACACTATATTGTAAGCCCAATGAGATAGGGACCCCACCTGTCCTTTTCACGTATCCCCAGCATCCAGCACAATCCACGGTACATAGTAGGCATTCAAAAATGTGTGAATGAAAAACTGGCAATACTGGTTTTGTTTAGTATGCAGGAACCCTTCAAGGAGTAGAATTCTTCTACCCGGAGCATTTGAAATTCTGCCTGGAACACGGATCAAGTCACTTGCATTCTTCATAGCCCACGCAAAGCCCACAGCTCTGAAAGTCAGATTCCTTTTCCTCAGAACTAGTCTGCTCATAGTGATGACAACACTGCAAATAAAATGAACAAAATGTATGCCCTTGGATTATGGGTTATGTTGCTTGTTCTTGGTCCCTGTGCTTATTATGCATTCTCGTAATTATTATGCATTCTAATAATTACCCAAGAAGCTCTTAGTGATACCATTCTTAAACTTTAGCAGATAGCCTATGTAACTAGCTAACCCTCTGAGTCTGGAATGGGCTTTAACTTCTTCGTTAAGTTCCTTTTAGGTGGTGAAATCTGTTCTGTTAGTCAGGAAGAAAAGAAGTTGCCCCTTGGGGAAGGAACCTTATATATACACATGCTGATGACCAGGAATTTGACTGAGCGCATGTCATGCTGGAAACTACATGAAAAAGTGGCAGAGGCAGAAAGAACATGAACATGAGGTATAAGAACAGGGAGAAAACTACCTACAAAGAATAAAGGGCTCCTTGTGAGAAGGAGAACAAGTAAAGGTGAGGGCCTATGTGAGTTAGGCTGGGTACAGGATAAGCTGGTATAATAAGAAACCCAACTACACTATGGCTTACGGAAGCTAGAACTTTATTTCCCTGTCATCTAGCAGTCCAGAAGTGGGCAGTCCAGGCAGGTTGCTTTGTTGTGTGCAGTCCTTCGGACCCTGAAACCTGCCTTTTCACTCCTCTATTCTTTAGCGTGTTTTCTGTGACTTCACAGTCATGGCTAGGGCATTATCTTTGTAGGAGACAGAGTGCCTTGTTCTGTAAGGAATGGAGGAAGTTCCTAAAGAGTCTAGGGAGGGTAAAAAAAAAAAACCAAAATGCAAACCTTTTAACCAAAAACACCTTTATTTTAGTCTTCAAAAAACAAACTGTTCTTTTTTTCCAAAATAATCATGATTAACTTACAAAAATGACATTCACAATGCCTCTTCAAAGCATTTTCCTTTACCAGGAAACAGCTTCACAGAATCCAAACATTGATTTTAAAATAATTATATTTTGTTGTCATTAAAAGACAAAACAGAATCTAGCCGAAGTCAAGGAAATCCATTCATACTTCAGGTTCTTCTCCAGGAACCAGCATTGTTATACTATTTCCGTTTAGGAAAATCTGGTCTAATTTAGTAATCTTTTTCCTTTCCGGTGTGATTTCAACCTCAGTGACATCTTCCAGTACCATACTGACAAAGTCATCAAATCGTAGAAGCGTACCAACAATTTCCTTATCACTCTTCATCACAATGTGAATTCTTGATCCTATACACTTGTCCACAAGCTCTAGAGGCAGCAGCTGTGACGGGTTAGTGGTAGCATCAGCTGCCATGGCTACCCCGGAACCCAAAAACCCAAATCTTGAGATACCGGAGGAGGCTTACTCATTTAGAAACATTTCACATCCAAGAAACAATAAGTAGTGTTTCCATCTCAAAAGAGGAAATGACCTAAGCTTGCTGAAGTTTGATTCGTTTTGAAAACAAGTACTGAATATCTAACAGCATTTCTCACATCTCAATTTTTAAACAATCTTCCATTTCCTGAGAAGTCAGGAAAAGGGAAAAAATATGAAATTCATTTATATTGGTTTCCAAATATAAATGAATTAAACTAATTCAATTATATTCGTATTATAAATTACATTATTTATAAATTAAATCAATTACATTATACTGATTAATTAAATCCTATTTGTTAGATTTCCTTACACTTTAGAATGGCTACAATTTGTAATAAATGGACCAGATTCACAATCACTGCCTTATTATATAGAATTTCTAATGCAAAGTGCTGGTCCAAACATGGCCATTTTTCTTTAAAAAGTTGTTTTGTTTCCAACTAACATTGTCAATTCTATTTTTATCAGGTGCGTTCTGTGAGAAAAGCCCTCTGAAAAACTTCCAGCAGCTGGATTTGGCAGGAAATTGTGTGAGCAGTGATGGATGGCTTACCTTCATGGGTGAATTTGAAAATCTCAAGCAATTGGTGTTTTTTGACTTCAGTACTGAAAGATTTTTACCTGATGCAACATTAGTCAGAAAACTGAGCCATGTGTTATCTAAGTTAACTTTTTTGCAAGAAGCTAGGCTTGCTGGGTGGCAGTTTGATGATGATGATGTCAGTGTTATTAAAGGTGCTTTTAAACTGGTAATTGCTTAAATAAAGGGCACCCTGAGCCCATGAATGGTCTAGACTCTATTACTTCTAGCTTGGTGATTTAAAAATCTTTGCTCATATAGTCCAAGAGTCTGACAGTATATGGCAATTCATTACATACCTAAAAATTATCCTTTAGTGTCTGCCTAACTCGTCTCTTCTAAACTTTTTCTTCTTTACTGGTATCAGGATGATGTGTGGCACCATCATCATCTCCTTAGCTGGCCTCCCCCATGGAAATCTACTCTTAGTTTCATCATTCAGGAGAAAAAAAAAAAAAAGAGAGGAGGATGCCAGGAAAATGAAAAGGAAGTGGGAGGGAGTTTACTGATGATATGTACAATAATTCTGTGTCTCACCACTCCAATTAGGACTATCAGCTACTTGAAGGGAACTTTTGTTCATCCTGTATTCCCCTTGGTCTCAAGAACAGCAGGTCACAAAAACTGATATAGTGTATGCACATTTACTGAGCACAGTGCCTGGCATGTATTAGACTCTCAAGTATTTGATGAATATGAGATAATTAAATTACCAATAAATAGCTACTGAATAAACAAAGAAGCCAAAATGACTTAAAACCAGAGAGAAAACTCCATGTATGTTCTTTATTCAAAAAGTTTAAGTCAATAATTTGGAATGTAAAAAAGCATTTTCTTATATAAGCAGGTCAGACTCCCAAAAAAGACTGGCATCCTTTATTCAAGCAAAAAATTGGCAGTTTACCAGTAGTTAAATCAGAAGCTTGAAATTCAGGTCCTTTCCAGTTGCTGATAATGTAATTCCAACTGTGACTTCGGAGATTAAGGAAGAAGTAAAAATGTACCCCATCCTAATATTTTTCTACATCTCCCAAACGATCCTTCTCCACAAAGAAAGAAGTTTAAGAAAAATCTGTTTAAACTGACTTAAGTCAAAGTAAGTATGAAATAAACAAAATCCTAAATGGTGTTAGCCTGTATCTTCTATTCTCATGGCACCTCAAATTAATGGCTTTGGTGCTGGTGTAGGTAACACGTAGCCTGTATGTTGAGGTAGTCACTAGAAAGAAATTCTGGGCACAATATTCTGTTTAGCAAATGGGCATATATTCTACAGATTTAGTCATAATATTTTACAATTACAGATGAACTAATTCATTCCCTACCCTAACTTTACAGATGAGAAAGCTCAGGGAGGTTAAATGACTTGCCCATGGTTACAAAGCTACTCACGCACTGGCAGCACCAGGATTGGAATCCAAATCTTATCTTCCAGTTTAGTGATTTTTCCATTATAGTTATTTTTCAAACAGGGTTAATCGCATTCCATGAAGCTTGTTCTTAACCACAAACCATGGGTCAAATATTTAATTTGAACTTCCTTTTCTGTCTAGCTTCAAGTGACTCTGTGGCAAGATTTATTAGTAAGGCCACTGCCTATAGGCCAAATTTCTTGTTTTCATATCCAGAAACTGGCCAGAGCTTGGCAAATGAGGCTTCTCTATATAATGCATGGACCAAAATCACCTGCAGCAGTCGGCATTACTGAATTTCAGTAAGTAGAGCCAATTTCTTCAGAACCCACAGGCAACTTGTCAAATAGTATAAGTAGGTATTAAAGCACCTTTGGTAGGACAACTGCACAGCTGTTGCTTCCAAATGGGTGTTGAGGAAGAGGCATTTAACCTTGAGCAGAACTGTGTTCAGTATCTAGACGCATTAAAAATCCCTTGGGGATGGAGAAGACATGCATAGGGTGGCGGCACATACCTCTTAATCATCACTCAGTACATGACAGTTCTTCAGATTTCATGCATGACCCAAATTCACATTTAGATGAGGTCAATGGAGGAAAAATCACCCTGTAATAGTAGACCAATAATAGGTATAGTAATAGTTGGAGAACATAAGACAAATGACAAGGAACAGGTTGCCTTATATTTTACAAAGTTTCACTTTCACCAGCAGTCAAGGTAGTGAGGGCTTTATTTCTTCAGCAGGTCAAATGCCTGAACAGGATTGCAGATGTCAAGACAATGAGCAACTCCTTACCAAGCAAAAGTTATTTAGGACATGGTCATTTATTATCACAGGATGACTACAATTCTCCTTGATGGGGATGGGATGGCTTCTTAGATGTCTGTTATATCACTGTGAAGAAATAGGATTTGGAAGTGTTGCTCATATTTAAAAGAGGATGACTTGACTGAAGAAATTGTTGCATATTCTACAAAAACAAAAATCTTCTCTAGATAGCTGGCTGACGGCTGGAAAAGTCACAAATCTCCAGGAGTACTGGATTCCAGAAAAGTTGCATCCACTTTCAAAATCTCTTTTTAAAACCCTAATCATAATACAATAAAATGAAAAAACCTCATAGGTAATTTGCGACTGCTGCTTGTTATGCTTTTTATAAGTAATACTGGCCATGTTGGAAAGACCTTAACATGTACATTTGGAAAAGCAATCAAAAAATAAAATAATCTATATAATTCTCACACTGTATCACAGTTAACAATTTACTATGTTTGACGAAGCAAAACAAAGTTAGATACTGCCTGTAGCAGATCTAAAAATACTGTATCCTATAATCTAGGGTCTCTTATGTTTTGGTAACATATATAACATAAACTCGAACTGATTATGCAACTTTGAAAAGGTATCAAATCCTATGTTATATATGAAATTCCAAATATTTTGGTAATATATTTGATGTCTTTCACTAATAAAACGAGAAATTAAAAAGTCAGCCAATGAAAGAGTGACAAAAAAAGATATATTCCATCGTTATGTCAGTATTTGATTAAATATAACACAGAAAACAGGATACCTTTATTGCACATCACCAAAGGATCTGGTATTCATTTAACCAGAATAAAACACTTTGAAAACCACGGACAATTTGCAAATGTAGTGAAATTGTTAAATGAGAAAAATTATTTAAAAACTGATCATTAAAAATTTTAATTTATGCTAGGTAGTAGAACATGTTCCAAAATTTCTGATAAAAACTTCTCCTTTGCAAGACATAATTCAGGAGGTCCTCAAAGAAAAATGTAGCAATTAAGTTTGGAAAAGCTATAAAAGAGACTTTTATTTTTAGGATAGATCTTTTTTTCCTTTCCTAAAATGTGTATTATGATTCAAAAAGAAGGTTTATAAATTTCACTGAAGAAAATATTATATTTTAAATAATGTGACAGGTCCACTTCATCAAGTGGTTCTCTTGTAAAGGTAATGTCATATCACAATGCAGTCAACCACAAAACCAAAGATAGCAAAATTCAACTTAGAGAAACACGCTTTCTAAAGGAAGCCTATTTAAAGCCTAAAACATTTAAAAGGTTCTCGCTATCCAAAATACATTTTAAAAAAATATAGTTTCACTGGTTTCATGTAATATGAACTAGCCTACTATACTCTAACATTCAGAGTAAATGATTGGACAGTCAATGCAAAATTGGATTACTAAATAAATTGCAAGGTAAGGAGTCCATATTCCTCATAAAAATAAATCACAGTACGTCATGGTCTTGGTTGTCCAATTCTATTGTTAGTTCCATATCTACTTGGTATATTTGTAAAACCAGTCCTGAACCCTTGGGTTGTTCCTATTCCTGGAACTCCCAGTCCTTGATTAAGCACGCTGCTGCTATAAGGTATGTGTCCATGATTAAGCCCCAAACCATAAGGTCTCGTTTGCGTGTTTAGAAGAACAAATGGGCTCACATTTTTTCCAGGGGTGTTAAAAGAAAATTCTGGAGGTGGACTACTAGGTTTAGTTGGAGTCGATGTGACATGGTTCGACTCATCAGTTCCCTTTAACGGAGGCATTGGAATTATGTGATGATCTGAAAAATTTAGGACGTTGGCTGCAACAGGCCCAGATAGTAAGGCAGGCCTAATCCAATCATCTTTGAAAATCTGAACAGTCAGAGTAGACACTAGAGTGTACAGCCTGTTGGTCACATGAGCAAGAACCATTTGTTCATTTGCATCTCGTCGAATTCTTACATGAACTGATCCAGCCTAAAAAGGGCAAATCATAAGAAAGAGACTGCTTAGAATTACACTACTAAAAATTCCATTAGAAATGAACATTTTTTAAATGAGTTTGTTGTAACAGTACTTGGTATTTTCTTTAAAACAAGAGAAAGCTTAATGCCTTGACATTTCTTAAAGACTACTTAGTAGTGATTATCAAGATAAAGAGGTAATGAAATAATTAATAACTCTTTAAATAAAATGTGACCTTTTAAAATCTAAAAAAGGAAGAGAAATCCATGTAGGAGGAAGACAGGCATGTTATAACATAAGGCAGAATATAAATGAAGTATATGAAAAATGCAACAGAAGGGCAGAAAAGGTAGGTATTAATTCAAATTGAAGAAGACTTCAAAAGAAAATGGCATTTGAGCTAGGGCTGGTTATATAAAATTTCAAAAGATGGAGACAGGTTGAGGGAATAGCAATTAAAATGCATGGCATATTGGGCAAGAATAAGCAATATTACTATTGTATAAAAAAGAACAAGTGTTTCGGGGGGCAGAAAAAAATAAAAGAAAGAAGGAAAGGAACAAAGAAGGAAAGAAGAAAAGAAGGACAGAAGGCAGGCAGGCAGGCAGGCAGGAAGGAAGGAAGGAAAAATAAAGAAAAGAATGAAGAAATTATATAAATGTCTAGCCACTATGCTGTACAGCTGAAACTAATATAAAATAATATTAAAAGTCAACTCTAATTGAAAAATTAAAAAAAAGAATAAAGAAAGATAAGTAGGTAATAAGGTTAAAAAGAAAGGCTAGCAGAGGACTCTAAATATCATGATAAGGAGTTTTAACAGCAGCAATCGAACACTAATAAAATTAGAGTTGAGAAAACTTATAGGTATGGATATAGGAAATGACGGCAGCAGTCTAGGTTAGAAATGAAGAGTGCTGATAGGACAAATACAGTGGGATCAGAGAGGGACAGATGAATTCATGATATTCCACAGGTTAGAAGTGGGAGGACTTGACATTCAACTAGACTTAATGAATGAGGGAGATGGACTCATCCAAGATGACCTCAAGGTTTCTAGCCTAGGTTACTAGGAGGATAGAGAGCACCAGGCATTACAATGAAGAATGTTTATTAACTTGAAAAGATGTTTATCATGCACTGTTTTTAAAGTAAGTAACAGTAGGTACAACAATGATTCTATTTTAATTAAAACACACACATACAGAAAAATATCAAGAATGACAGCACTTATGTCTAGATTGTAGAATTATTAAGGATTTTTATTCTCTTTGACTTAGTTGTAACTTCTAATTTTTCTAATAAACAGGTACTATTTGTATAATAAAATTTTTTAAAAATCTATAATAAAATTAAACATCCAACAGATATTCCATGTTGATTTCTAGATAAACTCAAATTTTCAAAAAATAAAAAATTATAACAAAGCATAAAGGGTACATAAGTTGGCCAGTTGGTTTAGTTACAATGTGCCTGAATACATTACTTGGGAGTAACAAGAAGTTATTGTCAACCATGAGACACAGAAAATATCTATATTGCTTGAATTTGACTTCTAGTTTATTATTTTTCATAAGGTAAGCCATATCTTAGAAATCAAGTCATCTTTGATTTCTTCCTTTCCTACTATCATCTCACAGTTGTCACTAGACAAAACTATAAAAGATACTATATCCTTTCAGTTTGATATGGAAATCAAAGTAATTAAAAGAAGTGAAAACCATTTCTAAGTACAAGCTTGAACAGAGTATCCCAGATCATGGTGTCTACATTAAGCTATGGCTTTTGTGACAACTATTCTCGGCAGCTCAAAACCTTGTTTTATTTATCTCCTTGGTCTTAATTAGGAAGGCACTATTATCAGTGAGGTCGTTAGATGGCTAAGTTCTGAATAGCTGAGATGATCGTATTGTTTATGTTAATAAGCCATCAAGCTAAATAAACACTTGTCTACTAATTTATTGATACCAATACAATTAAAAGAATGATTAAAAATGAACTACATTACGGGGAGAATGTAAACTGGTATAACCATTTTTGGAAAGTGATTTGGCAACTGGCATTAAAAGCCATAAAAAGTGTGAATATCCTCTGATTCACAAAAACCTTTAAAAAATTAATCTTAAGGAATAATCACAAGTATATGCAGAGGTTATTCCATAAAACTGTTCATCTCAGTCCTGTTAATATGGGAAAAATGGAATGTCCAACAGAAGAATAAATAAATAAATTATGGTATATTTATATAATGTAAAACTCTGCAGCCATTAAAAATTATGTTGGAAACAAACAAGACTAACAAACAAAAATTCACAGATACAGACAACAGTTCAGTGGTTACTAGAGGGAAAGGGGGAGGAAGGAGGAAGATAAGGGTGAACGGGGTCAAATATATGGTGATGGAAGATTTGACTTTGGATGGTGAACATACAGTGTAATACACAGATGATGTATTATGGAACTGTACACTTGTAATCTATATAATTTGATTAATCAATGTCACCCCCAATAAATTTAATTAAAAATAGAACTAAGTAATCGCCACAGAAGTGGAGTTAAAGACCAAAAAAAATTATGTTGGGATTCTTGGAAGAAGACAGCAGCAGTGGTGACATGTTTCTGAAATGACCCAAATATCCCCATAAAAACAGAGAAACTAAGAGAGTAAATCCAAAACCTATGAAAATCTGCAAAAAACTAGCTAACATGTTACTCCTAAGAAATCCTACATGCAAGCTGAAAGACCTGCAAGACATCAGCATCTGTGCAGGAGGAAGCGATAGTGCATCTGACTAACCTAAAAACCCCAAAGCAGTAAACTGGAGCTTAATGGAAAATCTAGAACAGCGAATTTGAGAAAGGCAACTGGGAAACTAGTTTTGTTCATTTCAACTGGGTTTTGTTCATTTCAACAGTGGGTAAGGACACTGGGTCTGCAATAAGATATGAAGAGCTGGAGAAGTCTGAACCCTAGAGCTTTCAAAAGTAACCAAACAAAGGCCCATTTTATGAAGAAACAACTGGGAAGAGAATCCAAATTAAGCAGCACAGTAGAGACAAAGGGTAAGGAAGGTTCAGATACAAATGGGAGAAGAACAGAGCCAGGAGAAAGAAAAAAACTCACTTCACAGACTCATCAGATGAACCATGAATTTATACACACTACCCTAAATCGCTCCTTAGTTTAAAGTTTAGGAAAACTAATTTCACGCAAAAGGAACAAGAGAAAAGGATAGAATCCAAATCCCAAAGTTATTATAAGGAAAAAAGGGAATACAGAACAGGTTAAAAGATCACCAGGAAGATTTACCTACCAAACTACTGAGAACTATACTTCACTTTATCAAAACAAGCCAAAAGACATGAAACGAGAAGAATATAAATCAAAATTAGAAAACCTCAGAAATAAGATAATTAAAAATATAAAGAAAAAAATCATTTGAGAAATGAAGACTGAACTTGAAATACAAAAGCAAACATACAAGTATACTGTAAGAGAAATAAAAGGTGAAAAGAAGGAAAGTTTTAAAAATCAAAAGAAAATGCAGATAAGGAACTGAAAAACAATATGAGAAAAAGGCAAAGATCTAACACGATTATAATAGAAGTTCCCAAAGAAGAAAATCAAAGCAAGAGAAAAGAATATTAAGAACCATAATTCAAAAAAACTTTCCTGAAAGTTTAAAATAATTGTTTTTGAAATAACATTATTTAAAGGGTATACTGCATACCTGAAATAATTGACTCTGAATGACCAACACCAAGACAATCTACTAGACTTAAAATAAGACCAGACTCTGTATGAGTCATCAGGCTTTATTAGGGCAATGTTTTATGTCAGAGGTAAATGGAATGACATATTTAAGAAACTCAAGGAAACAAAAATATGTGCTCAGGATTTTATATCCAGCCCAAATGATTTTCAAGTATAAAGTCTACAACTGTTTTCAGTATTCGTGAATTTAAGGAACAATAATCTGGAAGAATTTACTACAGAATGAATTTTTGATATCCTAAAAGACTAGAGAAGGGATGAGGAGGAGAAAGTAGAAATGAGGCAGCCATTTTTCCACGGAAGAGCATAAGCCTAAAACCAAACACTACAAAGTGGATAATATTCAGCTGTTGGACCAGCCCTAATCTCCCTACCTGAGGAATTTGTGGTATGTTAGAAAAGTCAAATCTTATTTGTTTTAAAAATCAGGAAAGTAACATTTAGTGACATGAAAAACAGTTCATGGTATGTTGAATGAAAAGAGCAATTTATAAAGCAGTATGATCTCATTTTCTAAGCAGAGTAAATGGCAGTTTTCTCTACATGATAGGATTACGGTGATTTAATGTTTTTCTGGGTCCTTTTTTGTATTTGCCTCATCATTCCTGATATAGGAATTAAATCATGCCACAATAAAGTCTCTCTGGTAATGAGGTCCAAATTGGATTTGAAAACATGGAATTTTCTGCTGAAACAAGCTGTGTTATTCAACATATCCAGCAAAATCTCTAAAATTAGAACTGCAATTAAAAAGAAAATAATTGCACCTTTTACTTTTGCAACATTTTCATATTTAGGAATGTGTGACTATGAATTTGTCTTATCTGGACAGCTCAGCATTAAGATCATTGGTTTGAAAGAATTAAAAAAAAACAACCCTCAATTAATCTCAGGTTACCGAATCCATGCACATTTTAGGCTCTATTGAATAAAAGTGGAAATAAAAGGCTCTGTAAAAATTTTAAAGAAATACTTTTTTCAGTTTGGAAAATTATAAACTATGCTTTAAATTATAACTAAAGTAATACGTAGAAAACATACCAAGGAGCCAAAACCAAGGGTCCAAAAATGCTCATTTCGGACTTCCAAAACTCCATCCAAGGTAGATACCTGATCAAAAACATAGAAATAGGGTTATTTGTATTTGACATATCCAATACAGTTCAGTCACACTGTGGACTTGCTCTTAGCTTACAAATGACATGAGGACACTCATTAGCCAAGGGAAGTCCCAGGCCACTCAGTCAAGAGACCACTTCCACTTGTCTGGCACTGAGCCAAAGCCTTACTGTTCCAGGTTCTAGTCTGCACCTATCCTTGCAGAACCAGGTCTTCACACTCGCCTCCCTCGCCTTGTTCTTTAGTGGATAGTCCTTTTCATTTTATCAATACTGCATGTGTTTATATAAAGCACTTGTGGCATGAGACTTTTTTTTCTTCTCAATCACTTATTTCTCTGAATTCCCTGTTATCTGGATGTGGGCCAAAAGGAAATTCCAAGGCCAGATATAGTACGTGGCACTAGCTGAGACAAGTAGCCACTTGTATTGGTGACAACTAATAGTTTAAAATACTCATTATCCAAATAATTTAATTATCTTCTTCTTTCATTAGTTAATAGGTGAAAATTTATAACAATACAAAATCTAAATTCACAGATCAAAATGTTAGGTGGTGAAGCAATCAGGTAAGAGTAGGCTTTGACTTAATGAAAATCCTAGGTTTGAATACAGAATTATAAAAATACAGCATTTATATAAGCAACAGGGTGGCCTTAAGACATTTATTTCAAGTGAATTTGGCTTCCAGACTGAGCAATTCCTCAAATTTTCTACTTTTGTCACTATGTTATGTCTCCTAATATATTAAGAATACAAATGCCCCTAAATAAAATTCTAGATAGGGTTGAATAAAGTATTATTTGTATCTACTCTTTGCATTCTTTAGTTATAAATTAAAATGATTTTATTTACTATTCCATCTTACCTCTCTGATAAGTTTGTCCAACTGACCAATAACATGGGGTGGTGTTGTCTGGGAAAAAATAAAATAAAATATAAATCTAGGCAGATAAAAAATTTTGTGGCAGTGGTCTTGAAACTAAAAAGTATTGGGTTTTATACCAACCTTTGCTTTGTTTGATGTCTGCCCTATCACGATTTAGGGAAGGTAGGTTTCAGGTGGCCCCACAAGTGGGGCCACATCCAGAATCAGATCATGCACATGTTGTGTCTTATAAAAAGCTGCTATCTCTAGGACCAAATAAGCCTTAAAGAAAAGATCTTTAAGAAAGTAACATTCTGTACAGGGCAAAGCACCGTGCAACTATTATCTTATTGTTATTACTGCTCCTGGAGTTTAAGAAAAGGCATGAGGAAAAACAGAAAAGCAGTGCTTACATACATATCCAATCCTGAAAAACTATCTGTTTATTCAGGTGCTTCTCCATAAATATTCCTATTGCTTCAAGAAATAATTTGTAATTTTTAGTTTTAAGTTTGAAATTTAAAAGTCTCACACACTGATTCAACGATAAAAAAAGAAAACAATCATAATCAGATGATACAATAGCCAATCATAATCAGATGACACAGTTATCAGGGGAAAATAAGTAGCTTAAAAAATTTTTATTAAAGGAACATTGATTTCACTTGCAACATTATTAGAGGCAAAAAATATTTAATTTATGATTTTGTTTTATATTACACATATAGTAAGATTTGTGCCTATTTAATGGGCCAATATAATTTTACCTGTTCTTTCTCAGTAAACAAATTTCAAAGATTATTGTTTGGCTTCATTTCTAATAGGCCCCTCCTATAGCTAAAAATTTCAATCTGGTAGGAAAACATGAACAATTTTGTAATCTGGTAGAAGAACATGGCTAATATTAAGCATGCAAATTGAAAGAAGACCCTTACCTGGAGTAATACTTTCCCACTGTACACGCTCATGGGATACATGGTGCCAAACGTCATCAGAGCAATGGCAATGGCAGAGGCAGTGTCTATGGCAAAATAATTACTAAAAGAAAAAAAAAATTCTAAACCTTAAATGTATGCCTCACTCAGTTCTCTAAAATTCAATCTACCAAATGTTAATTATCAAAATAAAAAGCTTGTTTTATCACAATTGGCCACTACTGGCAATGGGAACATCTTGAAGGAAAACAAAAGTTTTCAGAATCTTCTCTCACCAAAGTTTAGTGGAAAATAACTAATAATTATGTTCATTAATGTGGAGAGATGAAGAAAAAAATGTGAGCATTTCTCCACTATGTATTTTCAGTCAATCTGCTTTTCAACTAGAAAGCCTTCACGAATATTCATTTGTGGGACAAGTAAAAACCTTCAACTAATAATTTCTGAGACAGAGACACTAATGGACTTCATCAGCAGTTTTGTCAATTTTCCTGTAAACAATAACTTTCCAATAATTACTATTAAAATTTTTCAAAATTCTCCAGAAATATCACAAGGTGAGATTCTCCAGAAATTTTTTTCAGCAACATTGTGACTTAAGTGTGACATCTTGACAGTAGCTCAGACTAGTCTATTAACAAGACAGAGCAAAATGCCAATGGTTACCAGCACACTTTTGAACTTCTTCCCTCATGCTAAGAATAGAAACATGAGTTATGACACAGTTCCTGCCTTTGAAATAGCAAGAGACACACATGTGGAAAATATAATTAAGTACTTTGGGTGCAAAGATGTCCTACAGGGTATTATAGATGCACAAAGGAGTGAGTCACAAGCCTACTGGGGTAGAGATAATCCAGAAAAGCTAAAAACAAAAAGAAGTGACATTTGAGCTGAACCCTCAAAGAAAAGCAAGATGATGGAAGAAAGATATTGTAGACAGTGAAAGCAGCAGGTGCGAGGGCACGAAAACCCTGATGCAGCAATGAAACTAAAAACAGTATAGAGAGATGGATGTCTAGTAAGGTTGATAGGGGCTTTATTGTGCTAAAAACTTTTAACTTTTTTAAATATGGAAAAGGGAGGATTTTGAAACAAGAGAATATGTCCAGAATAGCAATTCTGAATGATTACACTAGTATCAAAATAGATGGTAACTTGAGATGTGTGATAATAAAAATTAGATGATCAGAAGACTGTTCTAATTAGGCCAAGGAAATGATGATAAAGGCCTCAATTTGGGGAGCAGTCTGAGAATGGGAAGAAGGGGACAGATAAATATTAAAAAGAAAAATTAAACATAACTAGGTGACAAGACTATTATTTACAATAGCCAAAACATGGAAACAAGTGCTCATTGAGACATGAATGGATAAAGAAAATTTGGTATATACGTGTGTGCACATGCACACAAACACACAAATATTATTTAGCCATAAAAAACAGATATCTTAACATTTGCGACAACATTGATGGACCCTAAGGGAATAATGCTAAGTGAAATAAGTCAGAGAAAGATTAATACTGTATGATCTCATTTATATGTGGAATCTTAAAAATCAAACTCCTAAGAATAGAGAATAGATTAGTGGTTGCCTGAGGCAGGGGTGGTGGAAATGGGTAAAGATGGTCAAAGGTACAAACTTTCAGTATTAAGACACATAAGTTCTGGGGATGTAATGTACAGCAGAGTGAGTCTAAAAATCTTTTTTAAACAAAAAACACAAGACTAGGTGACCAAATAAAACTGGCTTGGGGGCCTTTTGAGCCACATTTCTCTTGCTCAGGTCCACTTCCACATCTCGAAGTATACTTTCCCTTCTAATAAGGCTTTTTTTTTCTGCTGTAAAAATAAATAAATAAGTAGATAGATAGATAAATAAATAATAACTGGCTTGGAGAGAGGTGAGAGTGAAGAGGGAGGAAAAATAGTTTTTTAAGAATGTGTAGAAGGTCCTCAAAAAATTAAACACTGAATTATCATATGATCCATAAATTCTACTTCTAGATATATACCCACAAGAATTAAAAGCAGGGACTCTAACAGATAGCTGCACACCTATGTTCATAGCAGTATTATTCACAACAGACAAAAGGTGGAAACAACCTAGATGTTCACTGCTGGATGAAATGGCAAACAAAATGTGGTATGTACACAAAATGAAAAATTATTCAACTTTGAAAAGGAAGAAAATTCTCATACATGCTACAACATAAACGAATCCTGAAAATATTATACTAAGTGAAATAAGCCTGACACAAAAAGACAAATATTGTATGATTTCATTTACATGAAGTACTTAGTCAAATTCATAGAATGTAGAATAGTGGTTGCCAGGGGCTGGAAGAGGGGAGGATAGGAAATTACTATTTACAGAGTTAGAAGATGAAGGAGTTCTGAAGATGAATAATGGTGATGGTTGCACAACAATGTAAATGTACTTAATACCACTGAACGGTATGCTTAAAATAGTTAAAATGGTAAATATGTTACGTACGCTTTAACACAATTAAAAAAAAATAATGCAATGGAATAGATGGTAGTAGCAATTCACTAAGACAAGACAGACAAGAAGAAATAGTTTTGGGGATAGGAGAAAATGGGTTCAGTCGAGGTAAGATATACCTTTTGGAATTCAGTATAGATCAGAGCTAGAAATAAAGGTTTGGAAAACACAGAGAAGTAAAAACAAGTAATTGTATGTGATCTCCCAGGAAAGTACACAAAACAGGAAAAAGATTAAGGACAGATTCTAGTAAACACTAATATTTAAAGGGTAGGTAGTCAAAGAATCATATGTCATAAAATGTTAAGCTTAAAGCAGCTATTTCCTAAAAGGCTTGCTTTTTTAAAAATTGCTTCACACCTCCTTCCTCTTCTCTTCCCTCTCTCAACAATAGTAAAGTGGTGCTTGTTTCTCCTTACCATCCTCTTCTTAGTTTCACTCATTGGGTCAGCAGTGAGGAATTAATTCAGCACTATAGATTGTGGTGAAAAATATTTATTGAATACAACCCTCTTACTTTTTCAAATGAAGAAATGTGAGGACAAGATGTGACCAAAGTTACATAGGTCATAAACAAACACTATGAGCTTAACCCCTATCCATTCCATCGATGACGCCCTTAAAAGTCAAGTGAAAACACACGACAGAAATAAAAAATACTTACTTAATTTCGATTAGCATATATGTAATACAAAGAGCAAATGCTCCAGCAAGATCAATCAAAACAAATGGATTCATTCGGGGAAGGAAGATACTGCTAAGTCCTGGAATAATTCCACACAAGCTACAAGAAAAACAAACAAAAAGAGTATTCACGTAATACTGATAAAAAAGATGACTTACATTTTCGTATCATAGAATATATCTTTTAAAGGAAGCAAAGAGGATTTAGGAACAGAGCTCTTCCACTCATAAAGGTCTCTTTTGTATCATCAATTAAAAAGTAAGAAAAAGTAAAGCAAGAATAAGAATCTTATCTGTGAGATTCATGTATTAACCTCAGCAATGAATCATGTAAGTTCCCATAACAGATGCATTTCTTGTTCATTCATTTAAAATCACGCATGTCATGAAACCCCATAACATCTTACCTTCGACTAAGATCTGCAACATGCTCCTGAAGCCAACTTGTACTAGCAGCTTTAAGAAGAAAATATTTAAATTATCTAGATAGAATAAACTACCAGAAATACTTGATTTCTTAAAAATAATTTTGGCAATGATTCGTTAATATTACAAAAGAATATGTTACTCCTCAAATATAGAACATTTTCCACTTATGCCTTTAAGATACTAAATCAAAAGCAGTTTCAACTATAATATTTAGTTGACCTAAATTTAGAAGGAATTAGTAAACTTACATGTCGTCGTTACTATTAATTTGAAGTTTTAAAGGCTCTTTATACTGTAAAGCAGAGCCTCCTAACCAGTGTGCTGAGAATGGGTTATAGGTATACCAATTATTAATTCGCTCAGTGCTCAGAAAGGCCAGGTAGGGACTTGGCTACATCCGAAGACACCTGCCAATTACTGTCACTGGACAGGTAGCCTCAAGGCTCAAGCATCTTCTCACATTTACCCCAGGGTGTTAATTTATCCATCCATTTTTTATGTGTACTGTGATGTAAAAAAGATTGGCAAGTCTTACACAAAAGCAGTATAATAGAGCAGTTAGGAGCAGCCTCTGATGCCAGCTCTGCCTTTAACCAGACGTGTGGCATGGGGCAAGTGACTTAATCTCTTAGTGTTTCAGTGTAAAATGAGAATGATATAATTATTTACCTCATTAGGTTATATAGGGAGAATTTAGTGGGTTATTCTACCTAATCATTTAGTACAATGCCTAGCAGATAATAAGGTCTCAATATTATTTTCCACTCAAATTTCAACTAATGTCACAAATCTTGATGTTTCTGGGAACTTTAATTTTCAGCTAATGAAAATACAAACTAGAAAATCTTTCTATAAATAAATCTGACAATATACATCAAAGCCTTTAAAAATAATGTATTTTTAATCCATTTATAATATCTTCTCTGGGAATTCATCCTAAAAAAGGAATCAGAAATGCATACAAGAAATTTAATACGAAGCCGATTAGAGCATTATTTGTAAAAGAAAAAACTGGATGTATAAAAATAGACTAATATTTAAAAACATTCATAGGACAGAGTATTATACGAGCATTCCAAAAAAACATTTTTTTCAAAGAGTAATGAGGCAAAATTCAAGACATTTCAAAGAGTAATGAGGCAAAACTGTTAACTGGAAAAAAACAGACAAATTATAAATACATACAATTCTAAGTATGTAAAGATATGTATATGTACATAAAAAATCAAAGGAATAACAGAAAGATTCACAGATGTTATCTCTTAGTTGTGAGATTATCAGTATTTTCTTCTTGTATCTTCCTGATCGTTACAGAGAAATATTGTTTCTAAATCTCTGTACCTTTTTAAAACTCCTAGAGTGAGCAACATACGACTTTAATAATTCATAAAGTTTTTCAAAATAATTCTGGTCTTCGCAAATATCATTATTTAATTTTCAAGTTTGTGCAATAAACTCTTAAACTCTCTCATGCAAACACAACTCATACTTCATAACTCTCATGAAGTCATTTAAACTTGGGTGGGCATCTTAGAAAGCTTTCCTCTCTTGACTGTACTGCAGTTCAAGTCAGTGAGACCTAAAAAGACCCTCATTATCTCTGCTTCGAAATGTCGGTCTGTGCGTACAGCCCACTTTTGTGGTTAATCCTTTGTGGGTTAGAATTCCAAAACATTAAAATTATCGAAAAATGACAATAATTTAGACCACTGAGGTAAAACAAAAAAAAATCAGTCTGAATTTGTAAAGACTTGAAAATTAAGAATATTTCAAAACCAAAATAAGTTCTCCTACTTTCAAGTATATGCCTACCCATCACTGCCAAAAAGAAGTTCCTGGGAACTTATTTAATTAACAGAATTAAATTACTTGCAGTGGGCACACCAACTATTTTACATCTTACGATGCTCCTAAAATGCTTGCAAATAGACTTTTCATAGATAGGTTATACATCTAAAATCTCATTCATGTTATTTGGCAAATGTAATTTTTCACCACATTCAATTTAACATATATGTCAGTCCTATCTGTTTTTAAGTAATATGTTATTTTAAAGCTTCAACTAATTAGATTTTGTCTTATAATTCTCTGCTTAAAGAAGACTTGAGAACATCTGGGAGATGTTCCTAATTCTCTTTAGGATATACTTTCTCACTGATTTATGAGTTAAAGAAACAGACAAAAGACTTATTTTTATTTTTATATTAACTGAATTTTTATTAACGATAAATAAAAAACATACCTTCAGAGACATAAGCAAAAGGTTTATTCCGAATAGAAAGCATCGTGAACAGGTTGAAAGAAAGAGCCACAAACGTACCAACTAACAATCTTCCCCTAAAAAAAGCCAACAATAATATTTATCATTATTTTTTCTTGGTAATATCAATATGTAATTTCAGCATGTAGAAAGACTAAGAGATGGAAAGGTACAGCGCTCTGCTTCTACGGTTTGGTATTAGCAGAGCAGAATCTAAACTTGGCTTCAAGTCCTATAATTCATGTCCTGTCTACTGCTGCTCCATCTTACATGAAAAAAAATAAACTCTTGGCATTAATATTATCTTCTTACAGGTAAATCCTGTTATAAATTTGTATAAATGCTAATGGCATTTGGTTTACAGCACACTGGACAGGTGAAACTGTCCTAAATTAAACTGACCAAAATAGCTCAAGCCCACATAGTTGGCAACTATGTGGTAGGTAATAACAATTCCATCTTTTCTATAGGTACTCCTAAGAGATTGTGAGAATCAAATTTTAAATTACAGAAGACCAGACAGGGCTGGCTTAGTGTCATGATCCAGGCTCGAAAACCATGAGGAGCCTGAAGCCAGAAGAGAGGTGCCTTTGTTCTGCAGCATAAGGGTTTGGAACAGTGAAGGGTGAAAAGGATTTGGATTTGGGGATTTTGTTTGTGAAATATAAGCAAAATGTATGCTGCCATATTCTGAATTCTCATACTGGTCAAAGTAATCGTTATTTAATAATATACGAATTAAGTTGGGAATTAAATTTAACAGTAAGTTCTATGTTATGATAAAAACAAAATCTTACGTGTGTATCTCGGGCTGCTCTAAAAAGCGTTCTGCACTAAAAGGAAAAAATAATGTATTAAATAAGTCTTGTAAATTACAAAATTAAAAAGCTTTACTAAACATATAGATAACTCAATAAATTCACAATATCTTTTTTATATGATAACCAATTATTGATTATTAGCAGGGACGAAGCAAGGAAACTCACAAATTATCCTCGACATGTAATGTTGATTTTTCTCTACCAAACCTGTTTCAATGGGGCTGTACTAAGCATTATAACACATATGACCAAATCCCTTTCTTCCATTCACACCCACCTATTTTCGGATTTAGTAGCCTCAAGAACATAATAAAAGAAGGGTGAAAAGAAGAGAGAAAAGTCTGAAATATGAAGAAACTGTACTGTCAAAACTCCATCACTGTTCATCTTCGTATGTATACTCTTCAAACCAGGTGTGTGTCTCAGTGCATTCTTTATGTTCCCAAAGGTAGTACAGGCGGAATTTAGAATGACATTAACATCAGATACAAACGTACCTTTCTTTTAATATAAAGAGAGCTCCCAACTGTGCCAAGACTGTGGAGGCAAATACAGCCAGGACTTCTAATCTTTCAAATCTGAAAGCAGAAAATTAATTAGATCAGTATAATTCATTCAGTTTACAAATCAGTATCTCTAGAACACATTTACATTCATTTATTCACTCACTCAATATACATATGTGCCTATTATAAGCCAAACACTGTTAAAGCAGACTAGAGTGATTCTAGAATGGTAATAAACAATGAACATCACAGATTAAAAAGAGTGCCTATTTGTACAACATATATGAGCCACTTATGGCTCTTATTTTTTAGAAATAACCATTATATAATTAACAGCTAACACTTAATTGACCCATCTTGTGTTAGACACTGGTCAAAGTGCTTAACATATTATCTCATCTAAACCTCCCAACCCCTTAATGAGGGTTATTTTATCCAAAGAAGAGAGAGATAAGGAACTTGAAACACAAAAAGGAAAAGTAACTGTTTAGAGTCAGATAACTAACAAGTGGAGGAGTCAGGTTTTGGAACTTGGGTACTCTGGCTCCAGAGTTCATAATTTTAACCACTTATTATACTGTCTCACACTTATACATATGATCATATGAGAATGCCTTTTAATACCTAAACTATCAGTTGGAGGTCAGGGGCTGTTGTCTTAATCATTTTAGTTTTTCCCACAACACATAGTTTATGGCATTCAATACTTACTGTAAGTATAAGTGCTTAAAATTTTTCAGGAAAATAATCATCTTCAGAAAAGATAATAAAATAATTAAGGATATTCTTTGCATTGCTGCTTATAAAGGAAAAATGTTGGAACAATAGAACCTTATGCATTATTAAAAATACATAGAACATATTTATTGACATGGAAATATGTAAGTAAAAAAAGGGGGTTATAAAAGATTAAAAAACCTGTAAACGCAGCAATATTATTTGTAAAATTGATATGCTGATATTAGAGTGTATATAGAAATGCAAAAGATGAAGGAAAGCAAAGACAATCTGAAGAACAAAGCTGGACGATTTAGACTACGAGATATCAAGATTAATTTCAAAGTAACTAACAGAGTATAGTACAGGCATACCTTGGAAATATTGCGTATCTGGTTCCAGACCACCTCAATATAGTGAGTATCTCAATAAAGTAGTCTGTAATCTTTTTGCTGGAGGAAGTCTTGCCTTCAATTTGTGAATAAAATGCAACATCTGTGAAGTGCAAGAAAGCGAAGCGCAATAAAACGAGGTATGCCTGTACTAATGCAAGACAGACAAATACAGTAAATTGAACAGAAAAGAGAATACATAACCAGACCTACATAGTCGCCTGATTTATGAAAAAGGTAGCACATAAAAGCATAAGAGAAGGATGAATTTTTTTCAATAAATGTTTATATCAATGAAATAGCTTTACAGGAACAAATGTGTGCAAAGATATAATACACAACAAGATACGGTTCTTGCTACCATGAAATTATATTTTAAAGGGGGAGACGGAATAACTAAAGTTCTGGTAAGTTCTATAGAGATAATTATACTAATCTGATGTAACAAGATCTATTTTAGAATCTATTTTAGATTGGGCCTAGTCACTTAATGACATTAGCATTTAGTGATCTTAAGATGGAGTGCATCTTGCAAAGATTAGGTAAAGAGTATTTCAAACAGAGAATAGCTTGTACAAAGTCCCTAAGGAAGGAATGAATTACCTGTGTTCAAATTACAGAAAAAAAAAGTGTGGTATAGAGGGTATATGAGTGATAAGAGAAAAAAAGTAGGCAGGGCACAGTTCATATAAGGGCTCTAAAAATTAGGGAAAAGAGTGAGTATTCTATTCTAATATGATGGGAACCAATTGGATGGTTTTAAGGGAGAGAGTAACAGTATGATTTAGGTTTAAAAAGGAAAATGTTCTGGCTGATTTATGGAGAAATGGACATTAGGGGGCAAGAGCAAAAGCATGGGACCAGTTAGGATGATGGTCATTGGTTAAGGCAAGAAATGAAGGTACCTTGGATAGGATGGTAATAGTGGAGATAGTAATAGGAATGGGAACAGATTCTGGATGTGTTTTCAGGTTACCTTGACATAACCTGCTGAAGAATAGATGTGAGTAATGAGAAAATAATCAAGGATAATGCCTAGAATTTTTTTGAGCAAATTAATGACAGTATGTTTACTGAGATGGGAAAAACTGCAGAGAAACAGGTTTTTGGGTAAGAAAAAAAGGATTCTAGCCTAAGCTTAAGACACCAACTAGACATCTCTATGAAGCTGTCAAAAAGGTAATCTGAATGAGATCTCAGAGCCAAAGAACTGGATTTTGGAATTATTAAATATAGATACTTCAAGCTACATGACTGAATACAAATGAATGCTTAATCTTATTGTTCAATTGCTCCTTCCTTTTCCATTCACGCTAAGCAATGAGTCAAAATGGAAGCTGTCATGTCCTTACTTGACCTTGTCTCCTGGCCACAGTAACTGATTTAAAGACTAACATCCGTTCCAACCTGGACCCATCAGCAGTCCATTCTCATACATTTTTGAACTAGAAGTGTGAAAGAGTCTTCTAGGATGAAGGTAACAAGGTATGAGTTGAGGTCTGGCTAGGAGTTATCTACCATTCCAGAATGGTAAAGTGATCTTAGAAACTGAACCTGAAATGCAGAAAGAAGCAAGCCTGAGAGGTAACAGAAAGACAATGTCCTGAGAGTTCTAGTCCCTATGCCAAGTATCTGAGTCTTTCTACATTTTGGTTACATAAAGACAAAAGTCCCCATTTTTCTCCCCAAACTAGTCTGAGTTGGATTTTTGTCACTTAACAATCAAAAGCCTTGACTCAGTCACAGATTTCCATATACAGATATCTATATCTTACAACTGATTATTATAGTAATAGTCCAACCCTATTAAATTTCAGTGACACTTATAATATCTTCATTTTACATAAACATTTTATGTTTACTTTGTCCCATTGTTTAAGTAAAAAAATCCTGATTTTGTTCAAAAGAATATAATCCCAGTGAATGGTATGGTGAAGAAGGGTAAGTTTGGTACAAGAGTTTCTTTACCAAAGTAAAATTCTTTCAAGTTGTTTCCTTGAATTTGAAAGGACTTATATTTTTCTAATATATATTTTTAAAAACCTCTAATATAAAAGATTATCTTCTAACTTTCAGTAATTTCTAAAACTATAAAAACAGAAATTTCAAATTCTATCAGTCCATTGCTTTCAAAAATCCAGTCTTAAAATAAAAATCCATCTCCACCACTAAACTGATGTTAAAATATATCATATTTACTTTACCATCTGGAAGATACTTTTACATGGAAATCCTCTGTACCTCCTTTAACTAACATAAGAGATTTCCAAAGTACTAAAGAACTTAATTTGAACATTTTATGTTAATATTTGTTTTATAAAATAGCAAAGAACCTCATGTGAACATTTTATTTTAATATGACTTAAATTTAAATATTCATGTTTCTTATTAGAATCCTCTTAGAAGATCCTTTTCTATCTACTTTCACATTTGATCATACCATTTATTTTCTAGAAATACTCTAGCTAGCTCACTACTGACAAATATGACTACTATTTAATAGCAATAAGTTAGTAGAAAATAAAATAATTTGAACTTACCCAAATGAATAGACAGGGCTAGGTTTCCTCACCATTACCCAGTAACTTATTAAACAAGTCATTAAACTATGTAAAAAGAAAAATAAATTTTGGTATTATAACGATGGCTAGAACATGCAGAATAAAAAGTTTTTAGAATTCCTAAACTGCTGAAAGTTATCAGTATTTACACAGACTAAATTAATAAGTTATCTAATAATTTATAATCTATTCATAATGAGCATCCTAGAGCATGAGATTTAACATGTTGAGGAACTGAGTTATGATACATCATTAAGTCAGTTAAACAGAACCTAAACCCATAGATTCTCTACTCAGTAAGAGATCCATCCTAAATGGTTTCTGTAACTGAGCATGCAAAAAATGACACAGTAATAATAATGATAATATATTTTGTTCTAGGCATATATGATAAATTTTAACTTTGATATACTTTAATCTTTATTAAAAGTTAAATTAAATAGTAACATTCTGGATGGGATAAAATTATGTACATTTTCTAAGTACAGTGGAGATTCACATAAAACAACTTACTACATGTGAAATTCTGGTAATTCAGTTCAGATTGTTTTAGACCAATTAGGTAGATTTAATTATGTGATTGATGAAAAGATATCCTTATAACACACTCCTATGGCACAGATTTTGAAGATATTAATGTTTAAGTATTTTGCAACCCTTATACGGAAATATGAAAGGCCCCATGTAAGCAGGGAGCCAACAGGTTGTCTCCCTAGCTCACAATTACTCACTTCTCAGCTATTAATGTCCCTCATTTCTTTTCCTATCTACACAATTAAAGTGAGTACTGGTGCATTCTTACATGACTCTGCTCCCTAGCCACAGCTAATCCTCATGGATAGGCACCTGAAGCCTCTGACCTAACTAATGCCTGGATATTGTCATTTTTGTTGCTACATAAATGGAATATTTTCCTCCAGTATTTCTGTTAACTTATTGTTTGTATATAAGTTCTATGTTGATAATTTTGCTTATTTCGCATGCTCAGAATATTCTCCTTCAAGCAAAGAAAACCATAAATTCAGTGCAACAAATTCCTTATTAGCTTCAAAACATCAGGTGATTTTTAAAAACTTACCTAAATAGATCAAAAATGGTCAGGTAAGTATAGGCAGTTAAAGCTGTAAAACACATTGATTAAGGTATTCATTACCAAAAAGATAAGTCACTGAGTAACCTCATATGTGGGCAATTATATAGTAAATTTGATAAATGTATGTAGCCCAAGTTGGCTATACAAAAGCTTACTTTAGAACCCGATTTCTCCATCAGGAAAAATGAACAGTATATGCTCAAAAGACCTATAATAATATTTTTTACCTTCTTCTGTTATCTGAGTACTATGTATTCTTTAAATAGCAAGATAATAATAATGGTACATAAAAATATAAGAAGTCAAGACATAATAAACATATTAGAGATTTCCCCTTTCAAGAAAAATCAAATCTTACTCAAAATTCCTACTTATAAACTGCATAAACTGAAATACTAATCTATCACATTAAAAAGGAATCTCAGTTTTTCAAAAAGATTTAAAGTTTTTCTTTAAAAAATAATAGCTCCTTTAAAAAGATAATACCTAACAAATCAAAGCAAGCTTTATAGTTTACAAGGCACTTTTCAAATAGAGTACTTCGTTTAAATCTTTTGAGTTATATTTCAGAATAATATATTCTGTGTAAAGGAAAAAACACTTTTATTTAAAATCAGAAAAATACAAGTGAAACCAATAGTTAACTCCAGAAAAAGAAGAATGGCGACATACCTATGCTGTTAGTGGAGCTGCACCACATAAGAAGGAAACCAGTACATGTTAAGTTTATGGCACCAAAGAGCAGTATCTTCCAGGACTGTGAAAAAGAAAATCATTCTTATTTGCAGAGTGCTGATATACTCCACTGGGCCTACTGAAGTTGCTGTAATTCATACTCTTGATATTCAAAGGAATAAGTACAACTTTCTTCCAAAAAAGTGTCACATTTTCTAAATTTATCAAAATTCTCATCAACCAAATTGTTTTACAATATATAAATCTAAAAGAATAATTCTAGAAGGGGAATTAGTCAAGATAAAATAAATTCTGACACTTAAACTCAAGTATCATTTTGTCTCTATAAATGTGTACACAGAGACAATGACAGAGCAAATGGGGCAAAATGTAAGCAAGTGGTGAATCTGAGTAAAGGGCATGAAGGAGTTCCTTATACACTAATCTTGTAACTAAATTTGAAAGTATATCAAAATAAAGTCACCCCTCCCACCAAAGACAGTACTTGGTTACTTATCAAATACGTTGTATGAAATAGGATCACAAAAGAGGGAAAGAACTTCTATAGTTTAGAAGTTCATAGAAGAGGGAGGACCTGAGATACACCTTGAAAATACAAGGATGTCATCAGAGGAAAGAGGAAAGGCATTCTAAAAATAAAGAACAGATCAAGTGAAGTGTTTTTATTTTTGTTTCATTCTACTCCCTACAAAGAAGGGAGACCTATGCTTGTTTGAAAGTAGCTATTAAAGAAATTAGTGAAAAGGCAGTTATTTGGAGGTGTTAAAATTAGATATAACTGCAAAGATCAAATGTGGATTGAGAAAAGATGGTTTTAGAATGCAGATGAAAGGTGTAGGTTTAGAAAGGAAGAACACCTTTGAAAAAAGTGAGAATAAAAAAAAAGACTGAAGGGATGAGAAGCAGAAAGAAGTGACAGTGAAGTAGCACAGAGCTAATAGCCTATAAATCTCTATAAAAGAAGCAAGGCCATTTTCTAAATTTAAGGGATATGGTAAAATAGGACTGGAAACTTAAATCCAGAAGAGAATTTGTAGAATAGCTATTATAGTGAATATAATATTGAATCATCAAAAAGGAGAGCAAGAATTACCAGCATGAATTTATGGTGGACACTATTCTGGAACTTCCTCTACACCCAGAAGCAAAACCAGAGAAGCACGTGAGGTAGGGATGTTATAGACTTAAGAGCTGATATGCTAGATTAATGGAACAAGGGACTCTAATACTAGTAAAGACATTTATGAAATGACTGGACATGGGGTCTAGTCAGGACAAGGATTCAATAGTAGTCAGGAAAGGAGGACAAAGCATGTAATATGAAAATGATACTCTCTGTAGCTCTACTGCTAAATCAACACATATTTGAATATTTATTTTATAACAGACATTATTCTAGGCACTGGAGATACAGTAGTGAACAAAACATGAACCTTATAATGCAGATGGGGTGACAGACAATAAGCAAATACATAAAGTCAAGTGGTGATAAATGCTAGGAAGAAAAAATAGAATACAGTTAGAACACAATATGGGAGATATGAAAGAGTTGTTCTTCTACATAAGATGGTCAGAAAAGACCTCTTTGGTAAGGTGACATGTGACCAGAAATCTGAGGCAAAAATGCTAAGCATGCAGATATCTGGGAGAGAAAATGGGAACCACAGTGCTAATGCCCTGAGACAGAAGAGTATCTGGCTAAGGACAGCTAGTCGAGACAGGAAAGAGGGAGTCTGAGGTAATATAAGTAGTGTCTTGTATGATAGGAAAAGAATGGATTTATTCCAAATGAGATGGAAAGTGACATAGCTTTCATTTTTAAAAGATCATTCTGGCTTCTGTCTGTATAATATACTATATAAGGACAAGGATGGAAGTATGATGACCATTTAGAATGTGACTATAATAATGCATGTGAGAAATGATGGAGGCTTTGTAGGTGGTAAGAAGGTATTAGGAAAGTCGGATTCTGGGTATTATATGGAAGATAGAGCTAGCATGACTTACTTACAAAATGAATGTGAGATTTGAGGAAAAGAGAGGTCTAAGAATGATTCCCAAGGTTTCTGGCTTGAGCATCTGGAAGAATAAGAGTAACCACTTGGTGAGGAAGTAATAGGTTTGACCATATTAAATTTGAGATGCCTTTTAGATATTCAAGTGGAAATATTGAGAAGGCTACTCATTATATATTGGAGTCTGGAGGTAGAGGAGAATTTGAGATATAAATATGGGGTCATGAGTGTGTGGTGGTGAAAGTGTTACCTACATGTAATCAACAGAAATGAGAGGCTGGAGCTCTAAGCCCTGGGAACTCCTAGAAAGATGAAGAACAAAGAAGACTAAAAAATAATGGCCAAGTAAGTAGGAAAAAACCAAGAGTTGTGTTTTAGAGTCCAAATGAATAAAGTGCTTTAAGGAAAAAGTGACTGATTTTTGTCAATGCTGCTGAAGGTCAAGAAAGATGGGAAATGGGGATGACTATTGGTTTTGGCAACACGGAGGTTATTAGTTACCTTATAAAAACTATTTCTGTGGATTAATGGGGACTAGAGCCAGACTGGTATCTAACAGAGAAAGGAAGAACAGAAAGTGAACAAAGAAAGTAAAGGCAATTCTTTAAGTAGTTCTGCTAAAAAAGAAAGTAGAGAAATGAATCGGTAGCTGAGAGCAGAATATGTATCATGTAAGAATGATGCAAGAAAGAGGAGCATAATGCAAAAGGACCAAGGATGCACGAGACAGAAGAAACAATTATAGGAACACTGTCCTTGAGGAGGCCACAAGTAGAGGAACTGGCATTATATAGCAGAACAGACAGTTCACTTATAGAAATAGAAGGGTAGGCAGAGGGATGGGAGATGTTCTAATGACAGGGTGTGCAAGTTTTTTTCTGAATACTTCTTTTCCTTTAGTGAAACAGGAAGCAAAATCAAAAGGTCTGAGTGAGGATGAATTTAGTTTTGTAAGTTTAAGGAAATAGTATGGTACAGTCATTTAGGAAAATAGGAAACTGAATGGACGAAGGAAATATATGAGCAGCATTAATGGCATACTTGATGATGAATTTAAAGTGAGACCAATCAGCATCGTTTTGTGATTCTCTCAGGCTATAGGCATATGCGAGAAAATGATAATGATGAATGATAGAATATAAATTAGATAAGTAAGCAAATGAGGATAAGGGAGACGAAAAACAGTGAAAATATAGCAGTTAATGGACTGAAGGTCCTGGTAAGACTGAAGAATTATTGGAGTTGGGGTAATAGAAGGAGTGAACTAGAGAGACGAGAGATGGTGACTAATAAGTGAAACGCTTGCAGTTGAGACAATGGGAGGATATAGTTATTATAAGTGATAAGGTCTACGGTATGAACATAGGAGTAGAAAGCTGGGAGGAATGGAGGACAAGATTATTTTTGATGAGGAAGTAAGAAAGAGAGTTACAAAGATCTTCCACATGAAACATGAAATCATCAAGAACTAAGACAAGGGGTAGCAGTGAAGAGAGATGAGCCAGGTACATCTCTTATGATTTAAATTATGACTGAGATTATCTGCACAATTCAGGATTCCTACATTAACTTTGTTTCTACTACATATTTGTGGTACACTGTGCCTCAATAAAATGTACTGTTAAACAATTTCCTGTTTACTTCTGCAGTGCAGTTGTCTCCCATCAACATCACAGAGCTATATCTATCTATTCTCAAGAGAGCACCCTCAAAGGACTAGACACACAAGAAGCAAATGAATTCCCTACCTTTGGTTCTTGAAGTTTAACATTCAGGGCACAATAACATTTCCAAATACTAGAATTATTGACTTCTAACTATATTCCAAGGTTTTAGAAACAGGAGATATAGTGGTAAAGAACAAAGAAGTCTCTAGTCTAGTATCACAATACATGGCCGGTATCATTAGCACTGCTTATTATGTTCCACTGAAGCTAGGTTTATTTAAAATTCATCAAATATTTATTAGGTGCTTATTTTGTACTTTTATAAAAACAATGAGCAAAACAGATATTGTCACTGCCCTCAGTGAGCTTATAGTATAATTAGGACAATACAGAGTACAATGAAAACAGAACAATTAGAAAGTCTACAATGGTAACCAAAAAGGGTAGCAATCATTTCTTTTTATTTACAATCTCAAAGCATATTTTTCCTACATTACATTAAAAATAAGAAAACATGGCTTCAGACTACATCCATTTATTTTTTTAATTAAGAACATAAGGCAGTCACAAAACAAATTTTCCTGAAAACTCTTTAGCATTAGAAAACTGAAGCTTCACTTCCTCCCAAGCAAAACTACTATACACCAAAGTACTGTAACTATTCATTAAAAAATTACTTATCCAACATAAAAAAATGAAAACAGTGTGGTGGGATCTAGAGTGATTTCTATTTGCCTTAAAAAACGATCTTTTCTCAATGTTATAATGTTTGTGCAATAATTAAAATTCGGATTAAGAAATAAAAATAACTTACCCTTCGGTCAGCTGCTACCAGTCTAAATTCCTGTAATAACTTGCCAAAAAAAGATCTCTGTGGTTTTCGAAAAAGATGAATTGTCCCCTTTAAAACAAACAAAAATATACAAATCAGCATTTAAATATCTAATCATCTCCATAATTCTTGTAAAGTGATACAGTAATAACAACATTCACTGAATGCTCAATGCATGCCAAATACTTATTCTAGACACTTTACATGTACTTATTTATTTCATACAATAATCCTATGAGGTGAAAAAAATTCTTAGTAAGTTTTCCAAGGGCACAATGTTAGTAAATGACTGAGCAGAAATTCAAACCTAGGCATTTTAGCTCCAGGCCACACTCTTTTATTTTTAAATGGATAAGGCAATTTTGAACCAGAAAAGCAAAGTTTGTTAAATAGCTCTACTGGAAAGAAAATATGAAAATTTACTTTATCAAAGCTTTATACATGAAAGGCTTGGCAACTATTACTAAAGTAAAACCTCTGAGGTTCCCTCTTAGGCATGCAAAGTATTGAACATCCCAGGTAGCTTCCGTAGCTCCTGCTAGGACATGGTATGAGGCCAGCAGAGAAAGGGTCTGGCAGTGGGATTACCAATGGTAGAAGGGACGGAGTGATGACCAGAGTGGGATTTGCTACTCAAGATCAGGAAGCCAAAAGCCTTAGCATAAAGGAGTGTTCAAGCACATATGAAAAGTTAGCTTATGATTACAGCAGTATCCAACATCAGTGGGAAAAATGAGTTATTCGATAAATGGTGTTTGAAAAATGGTAAAGTTGGATCCTCACTGTACTCCATACTATAATTTTTTATTACTTTAAAATTAAAACTATAGAGTACTTAAACTATGAATGTATAATTTATAATCTTGGAATTGGAGAAGCCTTTTCTTAGTAGGACATAAAACCAAGAAGTTATGAAGAAAAAGTGACCAATTTTACTATATACTTTCATGCTGAGAATATAATACTTTAAAAACAGATGGACAAACAATAACTTTGGAAAGATAAACTGTGAAAAAAAAAATTATTTCAAAAGCAAAGTAATTATTTCCAGGGAAAAAAAATCCTTCATAATTTTCATTGGTCATACATAATAACGATTGCTAAGTGCCATGTACTTAAATATTTGGGTTTTAACAAAATATTTTCCTAGATGGTAAAGGTCACAATCACCATAACAATCATCCTACATTTCTACCTCACTAAAGTTGGCCATTTTGACTCAAATAGAAAGCAAGAGAACTGGGTATTAAGACTGAAAATGTGAAAAACTCTCAGATCCAATTCAAGCAGAGGCATGATTTTCTTACAGTTAGCATCTAGGAAATCTCAGTAGCTATAAAAAGGCATAGTTCATTTCTTCAAAGCTTAGACATGTTATTAGTTGCGTTGAGACTCAGGAAAGGCTGAGCTCCAGAAATCTGGCATAAGAAACATAGCAGAATGTTGATCGTTGTTGAGGCCAAGTGATGGCTACACAGGAGCTCATTATATATTCTACTTTTGTGTACGTTTGAAATGTTCCATAATAAAAAAGTAATAAAGTGAAAAATACTTTAAAATGTAAAAATAAAGCATCAGAAAAAAGTGTTACTAACTTTGGCATCCAAATAAGGACCAGTGTATGTGTAATCCATAAGGCTCTCAGCCAATTCAGTTGAAAAGGAACAATATACTATTTTCCTTTGAGATGCTAATATCAATATTAATGAGTATACTCTGTTCTTAAAAGAATTACATGTGGGTATTTTGGTCCCCAAAATAATTCTGATTACTGTTATCAGTGGATATCTTCTAACTTCAATCCACCTTATTTAAGTTATATTAAGTTTCAAGTTAAGAAAATAAAGGATTTTTAAAAGGCAAAGGGCCATTTCTGATGTCATTCTGATATTGGAAAAAAAGACAAAAATCCTAACGTTCACAGCATTCTTTCCAAAATTATATAGGCTCTCCATAGTTATCAGGATAAAGTCCAAATTTTATAATCTGTAATTCAAATGACTTAGCCTGTTTCTTTCGTTTTATTTCTTGCTCCAGATAGGAATCTTCAAGTCCAACTAGACTAGACTGTATTTCATGTTCATATCACTCTAGAGTGAAAAGGTCAAACTTGCCTAACCCAAGCTCTAACAGCCTTATAACATTTAGCAAGTTACTTGGCCTGTTTCCTCATCTGAGAGTAACACATACTAGGTTATTAGAGTAATGCACGAAGTACTCATTTGTATGTTTCACTTCCTACATGAAGTCTTCCTGGATTATTCCAAACAATAGTGTTTTCTATGCCACTTATTTTGTAGTTAACCATGGGATAGCCTTCATATTGTCATCCTGCATTGTAAGTTAATTTTTTAGTAACTTCTCTAATGACAAAGGCTATATTTCCTTTAAATTTTCTGAGATAGCACTGTGCTTTGCACAAAGCATGTTCTTAATAAATAATAATGGGGACTCACCAAGTTATCATAGGAACATAAAGGAGGCACTTAAATGGATCTTGAGACGTGGCAGAAAGGCTCATAAACTAAAGAACAAGTAAGGGTTGCACTGATAAGGACGAGGTTAGGAGATGGAGAACGATTCTGGCTGAAAGAACAGCATATACAAGTAAGGTGTAAAAGCCTAATTCTTAGAGCATGATATGCAAGCTGTTCACTGTGGCTGGAATATGGATGTACATTATGTGTAAATAAAAAGAAGCTTGACTACGGATGGCTTTGTATGCCATGATAAACAGGACTTAATCTTGAAGGCTATAGAAAAAAAAAATTTGAAGCTTTTTAAGCAAGAGAGAGGTCAAATTTTAGAAATTTAACTATGGCTACACAGTGGTGAATGTTCTGAAGAACATAGCTGGGAGGTATTTGGTCAGGCAAAAAAAAGAAAAAGCAAACTTATACCCATTTTCTGTGTGTAAAGCAGGGATTACAGAAAGAGTATGTGGATATGACATTTGTTTTTGACCATTCAAGGAAAAAACTGAGCAGAGTGACAATGGCTTAGGCGCAGAAATGTGGTCTTTTTCAATGTAGGCTAACCACAAGAGATCCATGAATTTTTCTAATAAAATGGTCTGTACCTCTTTTGACTCTGAAATCACAATCAACTGATTATCTTTAGATAAAATTCAGAGTACATACTGGATTTCTACAGGCGTAAATAACGAATTCCTCTAACAAAATTTAGATTTAACGTCATATCCCCAAAACCGTAAGATATACTGGGATCTACAATCGCAGAAAAAAGCTGCAATAAGATGTTTGACCAACACCTTGCCTTGCTCAACAAGTCTGGCCTACCTGCTCTGCTGTATCGGTCTGGCATTCAATAAAACCAAGTTATACATGGGAGTGTCCGTCTCAATACCCTATTGATAATCCTCTTTATTTGTGCCAGCGTTAGGGTCACTGCAGTAAGCATCTCTGTTACGGTTGCTGGTGCTGTGCACTTGTTTTTAGATCTTCTGTTGGTGCTTTAGTCGCTGACGCCTGCAATACTTATTTCTATATAGAGTACATCTCGCCATGGGGAAGCCATAAACTCGCCGGAGCGGAAAGCTCGGCCTGGAGCCGGCCCGGAATCACAGGCGGCAAAAGAACAGAGTGAAGGAGCGAGGGGGAATCAGTGCTCTGGGGAAATCTTTTGGACGCCAACCGCTTCTTTCGGGGTACCCGAGCACGACTCGACGACCCCACCTCTTGGCAAATGAGGCATTTCAAGGCCGCTTCAAGATGAGAGAAAGTAGCGGGTATCACCTAGGACAATTTCCCTCATTCCCTCCGCCAACTCACCATGATAAGGAGCCGCACAGCCCCAGCCGGAAGACGCTCTGGGAAGCTGGTTTTTCCCGGGAGCGGAAGGGGTGGGGCGTCAGAGGCGTATTGGCTGCAAGCAACGCTGAGGCGGAAGTGCGTGCCCCGGTCGTCCGTTCCTGCCTCACCTTGGCGTCCGCCCCTGCGTTCTATAGAGGCGAAAGCAGTGGCTAGAGCGCCGCTGAGCCTTCGGAGGAGTAGGTAGCGTGTTAAGAGCACGGAAGGAACCAGTTCTAAACCACAGGTTGCATTTAGCTTATTCTATTTAATCTCTTTCAATATATGATAGTATGACCTTGCCACTTTTGAAGGTTACATGCCAGTTATTTTATAGAATGCTCATGGAGTAATTTCGGGGTATGCATCTTTGACAGGAATATTACAAAAGTGATTATTGCATTTTCCTCATTAACCGTATTATGTGAAATTTGGCCCATTAATGATAACTTTCAACACTAGATTAAGGTGGCATTTGCCAGTTTTTTCCACTACAAAGTAACTCCTTCTTTCTAATTAATATTTTGTGGGATGTATTTTGAAACCATGTAAATATTCTTCACACTTTCAAATTGTTCTGTTTATTTGGACATTTACACTGGCTCATGTTTTTTTAATTTTATGTGATGGGTTATAATCCATTACTGTGGTTAATTTTGATGTATAAATTTGTCCATACTCATCAGTCTTTGAATATTTCCCTCTTTCCTGGTACCAGATATTACAGGTTCATCAAACATGTTCTGTGCCCCAATCCTGGAATTGACCATTTCACCAAGGAGCCCTGGTTCCTTATAATGGATGTTATAAACTGAATATGTCCTCCTAAAATTCATATGTTGAAGCCTCACACCCCAATGTGATGGTATTTGGACATGGATCCTTGGGAGATAATTAGGGTTAGATGAGGTCATAAGGGTGGAATCCTCATGATGGCATTAGTGCCTTTATAAGAGATACCAGAGAACTTGCTGTCATGTGAGGACACAGCAAGAAGGTGGCTGCTTGCAAGCCCATGAAAGCTCTCACAAGAAACCAAATAGGCCAGCACCTTGATCTTTTAATTTGCCTACCTTCCAGAACTATGAAATTTGTTATTTAAGTCACCCAGTCTGGTATTTTTGCTAGGGCAGCCCAAATAGACTAAGATTTTGATATCAAGAAGTGAGGTGCTGCTTCAAAAAAACACCTAGAAATGTGGCAGCTTTAACAGACTAAGAGTGGAGAATTTGGAAGATAAGACATGGGTGTTGTGTGTGGTCGTCGCTTTTGGGAGTATAACTGCTCCCAGGTCTCTCAATGGAGAAAACTAGGGAATACACGCATGTGGATACACACACACATATTTACATTTATATTTCTTTTTCTCTAAAATTATGAATTCATACTCTTAAATCCAATTCCAACCCAACCCCACAGGTTTCACTTGAGTTCTTGCCCTTTATTAACTCTTGTATTTATAACCTTTCTGTATTCATAATTCATAGCTTTCTGACAGTGAGAAATGTCTCCGCTATTGTTAATATATTGACTTATTTGATCAGGTCTCCTGTATGTAACCAATGTGCAATCTTTCCTGACACCTTCCACCCACCTTGTCCCCCACAGACACTTTCCTCTCTCTGCTTGAGCACTTAGTCGTTATTCCAGGTCGTCCCTGTTCACCATGTGAATAACTTCATCACTCTGTCCCTAACACCCCGTAACAAGCTGCCCATCATTGTAGATACCCTCCTCATCCCACTTGGTCTCTGACACCCCACTTTGGGCCACCATATGCTCACTCTCCCCCCTGTGACTGTTTTGAACCACTGTGAAATAGGCCTGAGACTATCTGTAGAAAGGTCTACTTGCAAGGTTGGCCCTTGACTGGCATCTGGGAACCGGGATTTGGGGTTAGTTTCCCACCATTCCCTAACACAGGCCTAACACTTCCACACATGTTCTCATAACTTGATACTAGAGGAATTAAGTGCACCCTGTGTGATTCTACTGGAAGGTGGTGCTTGATTTCCTCTGGACTTTTCCCTCTACCCTTTTTCCCTTTGCTGGGTGAGTTTACAAATATGTATCCTTATCTACTTTATGTTAATACTATACTACTTTGAGTACAGTAACCTTATTTCAATATAATTCCATTTACTGCTTTCTCGTTCTTTGTACAATTTTTGTTCTCTATTTTACTTCTACATATCAGTACGTGTTAAAAAAAAAAGTCAATATTTAGAGAAATTAAGAAAAAAATCTTTCATATTTACTGACATATCATTTCCAAAGTTAATTCCTTCCATGAGATACAGGTTCCCATTGAGGATCATTTTCTGACAGCCTAAAGAATTTTATCTTTAAACATCTTCTATATCACTGTGGTAGCGACATATTCTCTTACTAGTTTTTGTTCATCTGGAACAGCTTTTACTTTGCCTGAACATTTTGACTATGGAATGTTAGGTTAACTTTTAATTTTTATACTTTAACAATGTCATTCCATCATTCCCTGGAAGATGGTTATTTCTGATGAAATTAGCCATCACTTTCACTTTTTGAATGTAATGTCATTTCCCCTCCCTGGCTGCTTTTAAGATTATTTTGCTGTTTTTTTCTTCTTTTGGCAATATGATGTACCCAGATGTGATCTTTGTTGTATTTATTCTGCTTGGGGTTCAATGAACTTCTTAAACCTCTAAGTCACTAGCTTACAACAATTTGGGGACATTTTCAGGCATTACTGTTTCACATTTTTCTTTTGCCCCATTCTCTTCTCCTTCTGGACCTCAAATTACAGGTATGTTGACTGATATTGTTCCACAGGTCTCAACCCTCTGCTGTTCTTCTCTGTGCTTCAGTTTGATAATTGTTTTGGCGGTATTCCAGTTTTCTTTCTTCTGCTGTGTCCAGTTTACTGTTAAGCCCATCCCAGGAATTTTTAAATTTCAGATACTGTTTCATTTTGGATTTTTATTTTTCATCACCAGACTTTGTTTGGTTTTTAGTTTCTAGTTCTTTGCTGAGAATCCCAATTAGTTCATCCTTCATCTTTTTTCGTCCTGTAAATTCTTTAACCTATTTTATTTTTTATAGTGACATTGGTTAATGAAATCCAGTAAGTTTCAGCTGTACATTTTAATACCAAGGCATATATATTTACGCCGTTTACCTCTCTAAGCTGTCACCACATATTTGACCCCCCTTACTCTATTCACCTCCTCCCTCCCCTATTTTAAAGATGTTTTAATTTTTTTGTTAATTCCAATATGTAGCTCATCGGTGCATCTGCTTCTACATATTTTCTATTGATTATGGTTCATATAATTTCTTTTCATGCTTAGTAATTGTTTATTGCCTAATGGGCTTTGTGGATATGTTGTAAAGACTCTGGATTCTGTCTTCTAAAGACTGTTGAGTTTTGTTCTGGCTAGCTGTTAAATTACTGATGGATAACCTTAATGCTGTGAAAGCTTGATTTTAAGGTTTGCGACTGAGTTTCTTTCCATTTTGCCCATAGTCCTAAAGTACAGCCCTGAGTTCCAGGATGTTGTCCTTCCTCCTAAGGCATGGCCCTTTTTGGGTTTCAACGGGAAACCTGGAATGCAAACCCGTTAGTGGAATTTGAATTTCAAACTCTGTATTCCCCCAGCAATTGCTACCTTTGCACAGTTCTTTAGACTTCATTTATTGCTTTATGCTGGATTCCTCTGAATATCACACTGCATAGGTACAAATTTGAAAAGAATTTGTAGGCGGATTTGGGGGCTTATATCTGTGAAGCTCTCTCCTTTTCAAGATTTCCCTCCTAATTTCCAGCTGTTCTGGAAGCCCCAAATGACTCCTCAGACCAGCAAGACTATCCCATTCTGCCTGAATTCTATTTCCAAGCACACTGCACAATCTGGAAATTGCCCTCAGGGTAAAAGCTAGTGAATGTGGATTTCTTCTAGTATATGATTTTGTGCAATTTCCGCCTTTTTTCATTGTTCTCTACAGGCTTCTAATCATTTTTACATTTTGTTCAGAGTTTATAATTGCTATTGGCAAGAAAGTTAGTCCAATACAAGCTACTCCTTCAGTTACCAATCTGCAACCTCTGAAATCTCAAAACGTTTCAAATTAAAAAGTTAAAAACAAAATAAAGTTTATAATTTATTTCCAACTCATTAGGATAAAACTCACTTTATGCAACTGAACTTTTTAATTCATTTCTTCTGAAGAAAAGTACAAAAGACCAGATTCAAATTGAGACAAGCATTTAAAGGAAAATCTTTTGGCTCAGAGTCCAAAAAAAAAAAACTAAATGATTCATTCTACCAAAAAAAAATTACTTTTTGTACAAAATATAAAGAATTTTACATTATAAAGACTCCTGTATATTTACTTAAATTAGAATTCTAGCTTCTGCTTTTTTTCCAATTCTTCCCAAGCACAAAGCATATTTTCAAGTCAGAGATATGATCACCTCAATGGGCGAACTGTTTTAGAATAAGCTTTTACCCTTAAGAAACCTTGAAAAGATAGTATCGATTCTTTCCCTTGGCTTAGAGTTCAGTATATCAATAAGATTTAATTTTGTTTACAAAACTCTGCCATATTAACATGAAGAGCACACTAAAATTTAATTTTAAGCATTACTTTTTAGGAAGTAATAATGACATAGAGCTCAATGCAAAATCTAAAAGCTTGCAATCTAATATTAATTTGAAATACCTCAGCAATTTCTATCTTTATTGATAAAGACCAGATCAATCCCTTACACCTCCTACTATATCATCATACTATTTTCATGGCCTTTCTAGGAAAGAAACACTGCTTAAAAGTTGGTCATAGTAAGACATAGAAAATAGTTCTCTAGCGCTAAGCTCAACTTCAGTCTTGATCAGCAAATTAAAATAACTTCTATACATGGATGGACATTCATATAATAATATAATTTTCTTACTCAATGTTTATGACAATATTAACTTTTACACCTTTTAACATTTGAAATCTTCGTTATTTAAAAACTTTAAATTATTGCAGATAGAATTATGATATTAAAGATTATATTTTGAAAGTTGAGTTTGAAGTAATAGACCTAATCA